CTGCTGCCGCTGCTGCCGCCGCCGCCGCCGCTGGCACCGCCGCTCCGCCCCGCCGTGTCACTTCCTGAGCCCCCGCCCCGCCCCGACACCGGCACCGGCCACGCACCAGCGGGCGCTCCGAGGCTCTGGAGGCAGCAGGACAGCGGGGGCTGGGGCTTTAGTCGAAGGGGTCACTCGGAACCTGGAAGAAACCTCCTCATCCCTACGGGAAACGCAGCGTGTCTGCTTCCCCCGGGATCCTGGCTGAGCCCCCACCGCCCCTTCCAGCCCAGAGCAAAGGGACCATCTCGCAGCCCCATCAGCCAAGGCGGGTGAGCAGAGCACCTCTTCCGCAGCATTCCTGTACGACATCGTTACCCCAGGCAGGTCTGCATTTTGATAGATGAAGGGCATCAACCAAGCCTTATCCCGCACAGAAGGGGAAACGGAGCCGTTTCAGTAACAGAACTGAATTTTAATTTCAACAAACCTTTTTCTCAAAATGAGCAACAAGTGTCTTCCTTTGTCCATCTTCTCCCTACTGGGAATGAATGGCAGGATGGGATCTCCTGCTGCATTCTTGCTTTGTTCCTCTGCTCTGCGCACTGTATCTTCTCATTTCAATCGCCAATGTGCGAGAGGGACACTGCCACGCTTCCCAGACATCTGTCATTAACAGCATGAGTGGAAACCAAAGGAAAGGCATGCATGCTATGGGAATTCCTAGATTCGACATATCACTTGCAGGAGGTTTTCATTGCTAAACCAACCCTCCCAAAGCCATGGAACCTCACTCACAACATATGTGAGAAATACCAGTGTACTGAAGAAAAGTCAAAGCTCCATTCTGACAGAGAATTTTGTCTTCCATGTCCACGACTAACTTATTAATGTAGCCCCACTGCTGCATTTCAATTGTATCTAAGATCCTTCCTAACCACCAAGATTTGAAGGTTTCTTAATACATAGAAAAAGTTAGAAATTAAAGTAACTTCAGCAATGTAACAAAACCTCCCATCCAAATTCCCTCATCCCTGTACAGAGAAGCAAAATGGAATGGAAAGGGACTTCATGGGGCTCAATGGCCTCCACCAGAACAACTTGCCCTCTGAGTGTCCCACAACAGAGTGGTAATACCACATTGGGGGTAAGCATGAGGACAAGCTACTCCTCACAGGACAAACACCTCACCCACCACATACCCTACACGTGGCTGATGACAGTGCCCCTCAGTGAAGGAAGTGAATTCCCCACACCCATAGGAAATCACTGCCATGGACGCTTCCATCACTGCTACATGTCTGAGGCAATGCAGTGTGATGAAAACAGGAAGGCAAAAAAAAAAAGTTTGAGAAAAAACCAAATACTGCACCAGGTTCCCTCTTTCTCCACAAGGCATCTGGGAGTGGTCCCTGCCTCCATCACCAGAGAAGTGGATTTAGTTTGCAGAGGTGGACTCCAGGCCAAAACAGAATAAAATCTGGTAACTCCACTCAGTGGTTCCCAAATGCTCTCTGCATTTTGCAAGTGCCTGAGTCATATCTGGGTTTCCACTACTTCATGGGCATACTGGCACTAGATGGCATGCAAACAGAGATTAACTCATTGCTCATCCTCCAGGGAAATCAATAGAGATTGTTACTGCTCTGCAGCCAGAGACTCCCAAGCCTGCTCCCTTTTCATCAGACCACCTCTGCTTTATAGATGAATGCAAGCCCAGCATGCAGACCCATCTTTAATCCCAATTGTCTCCTCATTTCCAAAATGTCTTCTCAGATTAGGACGTGATGAAGTCTTTCATCCCAAAGTTAGCCAAGTGTAGAAACCACTCAGAGTCTTTCAATTTTGTTTGCCTTCAGCTGGAACAAGAGAAGCACCAGCAGATTAAGTGTCCCTTCTACCTCTGTTACACCTGCCACACACATCAGCTGTCAAAGGATACACCATGTCCTGATGCTTTACACAAGTGGTCTTCTGTCCTAAGAGGCGATCCAGCAAGGTCTGAATGATCCCTGACTGCTCTGGCTCCACCTGGTAATGACTGCTCTGAATCTGAGGGGTCAGAAAAAAGAGTGATTTCCAGAACAAGAGAAAAGTGTTGGGCTTGTTCCTTCAGACTCCCTCCCTCATCTCCATACAGAGCAACGAGATCTTCAAAGGCCAAAGCAAAAGCCTAGGGATTCTGTTCTTGTTTTCCTAAGCAGTCACTGCTCTCTCACCTGAGAAAGGAAGAGGTGGAGAGCACAAGATGTGGCCTCGGGCAGCTCTGCTATGTTGGCTTCTGCTGCCTCCTGAATAATCTGGCTAATTTCTTTTTGAGAAATAATGTTGTTGCTCTGATATCTCACAAACTTGAACAAAGGAAAAAATAGACACATTAAATAGTGGAAGACCCACAGAATGCAACAGTGACTCATCACTTGCAGAGACCTCTTCTATGTGCCATTACTGCAGCACCTTAACCACAAGCCTGATTTTTATACCACTTCTAATGGAACCAGTGCAAGTATCTATGTTGATGGTGCTGTGATTTATAGCCAGACTTATTTTGGTTTAAGCTGGGAAGGAACTAAAATAAATGAGGTAACCTTTTAAATCTGAAATAAGAACAGCAAATACTCACAGATCCATCTTTTATTTGGAGGGGGAAGGTTCACTTTAATAACCCCCTCCTCTCATTCACTGCCATGAGGGCTCTATCTTCAGGACCACATTCTCCCTCCAGCCCGCATACAGCAGGGTAGTATATTGCACTAACTCCCTGCCCTTAAAAGTAAGGTCTGTAAGGTCAAGGCTGGAGTCAAGCTGTGAAGCCAAGCAGCCAGCTTGCTTCCTGACTGGTAACAGCAGTTGCATGTTCTCTGCAAGTTTCCCCGCTCCTCCCCAGGGGTCTTAGATGATATAAATAAATGTTACCAACACCAAAAGAACAGGAGGTGCTCACTAACAGCAGTCAGTTTCTGCAGGGTGTGGAATTTCGCTTGAAAGTATCATTATTAATACAGGGCACAAATATAGTCCCAGACAAAGCCACAGCAGTATCAGACTGTGTTGCATAGCAGGTTAAGTACCAACAACCAGCCCACATGCATTGTACCAACATACTGGGAAAGATGGGGAATAGCCCATCCCTTCTGCTGCTCACCAAAGTCATCAACCTGAGAACTTCTGGCTGCAGAAAGGACTTCTGGCCCCCACTGAGTATTGTGAAGAGCAGGAATCGGTGCCACGGCTGTGAAGCAACGTGTAGAGCTGGGAGAGAAGGAGAAACCAATCAAAGACAGCTGTAAAACTGCCCAAGTGACAGGCTGAACCCAGCTAAGGACAGTCTTCAATACTGAACCCAAGTTCTCCCTCCTAGACCCCACACTGTGAAACACTAAGGGGATATTTTGCACTGTTCTTACTTGCTTTTTAATCTGTCACTCTCTGGGCAAGAGTTCAGCCACGAGGACAAAAGCTTAATAGCTTTTCAAAGCAGAAAATACATATTGTCCATCTTCATGCTGGTACGGGAAGAGAAACCTTCTCCTGGGGCGCATAACACAGTGAGGGAGTATCTTTAGCTTGGGGTTTTAAAAATAATGCCCTCCGGTTTCAATATGAGGACAACTCTCCTGACCTCAGTTTTTATTTAGCTGCAGAATACCCTCTGGGTAACGAGGAAAGCCCTGTAACAGAAGCTGAACAAACTGAGCCTGGATCTGCAGCAGACAGTGGACTATGGGACCAGCCAGGCTGATGGTGGCAATGCAGTCAGTAGAGAAAATGCTCTTACTAAAGAACATATATGATAATACAACATATATTAGGTAAGACTGTAAGTCTGTGATGGCATGAAGTCTTTCCCTGAATGCTGAAATTAAAATGTTATTATCTTGTATTTATTACAGGTTAGGAGCATGGGATGGACAAATAGATCAGCTGATATAACTTGTTATACTATAGCAACTCATCAGAGTGTTAGGTCTCTTTTCCACTGGCAGTCACATAACCTCCCTATTGCTACTAAAGGAATCTTTTCTATAGGAAAACAACACTGACAAATAATGTAAAATATTTGGAGGATATCTTTCACCTGGGGAAAACGAGAAAGTACCAGAACTGTGCATGAGCCTGCTCTGCACCTTTGGAAATATCTCTGGACCAAAAGAGGGTTTTAGAAAGCCTCAAGTGAGTCAACTCCTAGAGGCAGAGTCCACGACAAACTCTTTCCAGTGTTCTTGCATCTTTCAGCCAAATACAGCTATTCTGCTTGGAATAAGGAGACTCTTGTTATTGCTGTTATGAACTTCAACACCACAGCAGCCAGAGTGACAGGTTCAGCTGTTGCTGCAGCAGCATTTCATTAGTTTAATCCCAAACCAGCAGAGCCTTCCCATAACTTTTTTTTTTTTTTTTTTTCAAATTAGCCTTTTAATAGCCTCCCTTCAGCTACTGGCTGTCATTCATCCGCAGTATTACGTCTTTATCCAACCACTTCCTCTCTCCCACCAGTGTCCCTTTTGCCTGGTGTTCATTCACTCCACTCCCTTCTCTATTAGTGTTTAAACAACTGAAGTTAACAGGTCAGGGTACAGAGAACTTTCTGGTTTAAGAACAGAGCCAGCACCTGGACTTTGTGGCAGGGGGCTGACAATAAACATAAGGGTCTGTTCTTCCCCTCCAACTGTACAATGCAGTCATGTTATGTTATACTGAAAACATGGTATACATTAGGTCTGACATGCACTCTGGAAACCAAGGTCAGAATTCACCCCTGGAAATCCAGAATTTCCATCTTCCATAACCTAAGGCTGCCTAGTACCCTCTTCTCCCTTCCCTTCCTTCAGGGCCAAACTGTGACCAACGCTGCCCTTTTGTAAGTCCCATCACGTTCAGATCCTCCCTCCAATATGTTTATGGTATAAATGTTTGAAACAATTGGTCTGAAAGTAAAATACTATTCCTGTACTCCTTCCATTCCCAAACCTTTCCCTCTTACAGGGTTGGAGAACTACTCTTTACCTTCTGGAAAGCATCTTGGTGTCCAGAGCCAAAGTGAAGGTTCATGCCTGAAGGTGAGCCAGGCACTGTGATCTCATCCCAAAAAGCACAAGATTAACTTTAGGCACACAAATAATTTTTCTTATTTGGCATAAACCCATTACGCATTTTCTCCAGAGCGCTATTGGAGAGAGAACAAAGAGCTCAAAATCACTGCAGGAGGGGAAACTAGGAGAAGAAAGAGCATGAACACTTTACCAACATCCTGGTTCTTCACATACAGGTATTCCACTAAGGTTTCTAGGCAGGCAACCACTGCCTGAGAGAGCAGCAAGTCTTTCTGGAATACCAAGAGAAAGGAAAAAAAAGAACCCAGTCAACAGCTATTGCAAGTGGAAAATTCATAAAGTGCCAGGATCTGAAGAGTATGCAGCACAGGAAAATAACACCTTTCATCTCCTTCAAGGGATGCAATGTGCTGCAAATTATCTGTCACATCAAGGAGCCAGACAGAGTTATGGCTACTTATTTTGAGACTAAAAAATAATAGGTAACAGCCTCCAAAGAATAAAGATAGGAGCCCAACATAGCTTAAGAGTTAAATGTAAACTGATGTACTACCCCTGGAGCCCAGCATCACTTGAGCAAGTTAAATGTATGCTGATGCACTCACTACCCTCAAAAGCACCTTGCCAGGGGCGTGGGGGATGGACTGGGATTTGTTATACTTTTCCTACATCTGTCCCTATGGATGTGGCAGCCCTGCAGAGAAAGAGATGGGAAGACAGAAATCATCACTAGTACACAGAATTTCAGCTACCCAGTTCAGCAGCAGGGAGCACCGCATAGCTTGATTTACCTTCTTTCTCACTGCACTGTGCTGCAGCAAGAGCATTTTCCCTCCTCCTCATCACACGTTTGTAAGGGGTGGAAAATGCAGGCAGAAGAAAAATAAACAAAACAGGCAGCCTCTCTGATTCTGCAACAGGGTGGCTTCTTCTCAAGTTAATATTCCTGTTTGAAGCCCAACACTACTGCTGTTCCAAAAGTCGTATTTTATATACCTGCAACTGGACATGCACCAGAAGGTTCTGCAGACTGACAACAAGCGAGAAGACCTGCTGCATGGCAAGGGGGTGCAAGGCAGCATCCTGCAGTGATGATGGCTGTGGTTGAGTAGAACTTGGGGCTGTGTTTTGGCCAACAATCACCAGCAGGGAGGAGGAGAAGTTCTGTCGCAGAACAGCTCTCAGGAACTGCATGATGCTCACTAGACAGGGAGATAGTTATTAGTGTGTGTCAGTGTGTTTCTCTGCTCTACCCTGTGTGTTGGTGCCTGTGCAATAGCATGGAAGTGGGTTAGGAGAGAAAATGTGAGCTTAATAGCCCACCAAAGTTGTATGGCAGCTGCTGACAGCTGTAGACAGGAATGGCAACATGTTTCTTGTTCATCTCCTTCTATGAGACACTAACTCAGTTCACACTCAGTTCCAGATGTCACTACCAACCTCCAAGGAAGATCTGTCCACACACAGAAGAACTTCAGACAGCTCACTTTTGCCATTTCTCACCACCAATTACACATTTACAAAGTCAAATGGACCAAAGTTTCCAGATTCCCTCCAGCACCCCACCATCCCATCCCATTCCATAGTCACCAGTTCTCCCTTGTTGCTTGTATCATGGTACTAATGGCTGCTTCCAGACAAATCCTCCTAACAGATGCAAAATACCTAACAGCAGGATTGGCTTCTTATTCCTGAAGATGACTGCATTCAGGACTTCTGTAAGGTCTACAGAGAGTGTCTGGTGAACCTAGAAGAGAATTAAATAGAAGAGAAAAAGTGGTGCTTGTTTGGAGCAGATAGAAAGCGCTATTAAATACTTCTAGTTCTTAGACACTAACCCATGATGACCACTGAAAACTAAGGGAACAGCAACAGGGTTTCAGGAGGCTGACACAGAAGAGAAAATTACATCATTGGACCCTCACGCTTCACTCACCACTAGTTGCCTGAGCTGCACAGCTTCCAAACCACACTTTACCTTGTCTGTCTTGTTCTCACTACTCTCTGCAGGACCTCTGACACGTGGCTGTCAGCCTGCCAAGCACATGAAGTGGCAAGAACAGCTACCAGCAAACATGGCTCTACCTTAGCCACAGAGCCATGCAGCAAGACCGAGGAGCCAGGCAGCCAAAAAGCAGCAATGGCCAGAAGTTGTTCTTCCCTGCTGGAGCTGAGGTCTGCTGAGAGCCCAGGGATAGGAACTATTGCATGGGTGAAAGTGGCAGAGGAGTTTAGGGATTTGGGAACTAGTTGAAACAGGAAAGGTTGCCTTGAGAGGGAAATCTGCAATATGTTGTTTCCATCACAGAACAGCCATTCAAGAGCAATGGCATGAAGCTCAGAGAACAGAAGGGTTCAAATTCTTCAATAAGCCAGAGAGCTGATATGGGAAGGCAGGCATAAAGATCACAGGGCTGACTCTTTTAAATACTCTTCTGAAGAGGGAAATATTCCACAGAACTAGGAGTAGCTCCTGCAACATGGTGGCAGTGGCTACTCATTTTAGAACTGACAAGCCAAAGCCTTTAGTAGCCTACCATCCATGAGCCCTGTTTATTCACAGGGTAGCAGTAACACAGTAAAGATGTAAGTTTGCTATGGCCAAACAAGTCCTCACTATTAACATCATCCTGAGATGAATGTGGCCGTTTCTTGAAGCCATTGTTCTCCCCTAAAAAACTGCAGACTCAGGAAGACAGCCTGTCATCAGCTTACATTCACAGCCAGAAAGGTGCTCTTATGAGAGTCTCCAGGATGCTTTGTGCAGCTCCAGCTACACTGAACAGCAGAAAGAAGCAAGAGAAGTGACTCTTCCACTCCTTCCCCTTCAGCAGAATATTAGAAACACTAACACTTAGAAATGCTGAAGATTAGAAACACTGAAGCAGTCTTGATCCGTTTCCATTTCCCAGTTGTATCTGTAGTTTCTTTCCTCATCTCTGGTGCAAAAACATTTCTGGGTTGTATATGGTAGCACATCAAGCCAGTGGTATTGGTAAAACCAAGCAACAGGCTTATGAGCTGCTAAATGATTGCACTTCAAGGATCAATACGAGCTGAGAGCGTCACTCCCAGGAGCTCAACACTTGACACTGGACACTAGAATGTCATTTGGGACTGGCACAACACCAGACACAGCCCTGTCAATTTCCCCAGGAAATTGAGAAGACAGGCTGTACTTAGCAGCTGGCAGAGCAGGGCCAGGCTGCATTCCCACAGCCGACAGTCTGTACAAGTACCATGCTCTAAGCCCAGCTCATGCTGACAAAGTAATGGGTGCAGACTTGGTCTGGGCTGGTCTTCTGGAAAACATCTTCCCTTCAGTATTAGAAATCCAACCCTTGCTTTTCTGTGCTCATGCATGCATATCCTTAATGTGATCTTATCATCTGCAAACAGGTGTACCAACTCCCAAAGAGCATACTCTGCTGGGCGTAACTGCAACAGCAGAGCTCACAACTCATGACATGGTCTCTAACTCTGTATCAAGAGAGGTCGGGGTAGATATTTCAAAAGGAAACATTTTTTCCTTATATTGATTGGCATTGGAAAGTGCTTTCTTCAAAGTTATAAATTCCATTATTAGCTGACAACTCTAGCTTAGATGTCGTGTTGGACTGCAAAGCATCAAATATAATGACAGCTGCCCACATTCTTAAGAGCTTGCTAATATTGAACACTTACTTGCCAATAATAGGCTCTATTTCACTATTGATCATTTTAGTAACAAAAAAGCAGTTTACAACGTGGGAACTGTGCCTTCCACCCCCAGGCTTCCCTTGAGAAAGGTTTTAAAATGTATTTTTCTCTGTTCTGAAGAGGAGAGTGATTTGGATCAGGAAGGTTGGGTATGCACTTGTCCCCGCAGGATTTGTGCCCTTCTTTAACTCTTTGATGATTTGTGTCTCAGACCTTCAGTGACATGCTAGCTTCCCATCCTGCTGGAGAGGTGCAGCAAGGAATAACTTGTGGACAATAAAAAAAGAGAAATCAAAGCAATCAGATTACAGGCCAAAGCAAAACACTTTCACGTATATATATATATATATATGTATATTTACACACATATTTATTTTTAAGGTTTATCCATGTGCTGACTCTGAACACTAGAGTGTTTCTAACCTCAGTATTGTATCGATGCTGATAAAGCAAAAGAGAAGCCACCAACAGCCATCCAGAGCACAGCAAGGCATCCTCAGATGACAGGTAGGCAGGTCTGGAAGTAGGGGACCACAGCCAGGTGCATTCCAAAACCTTCTGCAGGAGTTCTAACAAGGGCACGTTGGAGAGCAGCACAGCCACTGCTGCATGGGAGAAACATAATCAGAGAGGGGGATGGGATGGCACAGGTTAAACCAGCTTGACAAGCATAAGAGAAGTGCAGAGCACACCCCTGCTGCAGTGAGGTAGCCCAGCTGCCACAGCTCATCTGAGTAAGGCTGTCCAGCTACTGGTATTCATCTCAACTGCTCAGCCAGCTAATCAGCTAACAACATGGTCAGTTAGAGATGTTCCCTAGTATTGTTTTATTTTTTCAACTATGACAATACCAGGATATTTCAAGCTAGGCATCAAAGACCCACTGCTGTGTTTATGAACACAGCAAATACAGTGATTCTGTCATTCAGCAGCCAATTCTTGAATCATCAGAAGGCAGCAGAACTAAACTCCTCAACCTAAAAAACCTCATCCAAAGAATTAAATGGTCTTTAATTATAATGATGTGTCTGGATGGGGAAACATTCACCTTACCTGCTGAGAGAGTTAGAATTTGGTCTCTGATTGTGAACCTACAACTTCACTGAAATTAACTTAGCAATCAATACAATCTCCCCTCACCTCTCTGCTGACTACAAGGTGTTGTCTGATGAAGGCTCCAGTACAGAAAATTCAAGGATGGCTGCAGGAGGTCAGTGTCCCTTGGCCTGCATTTCCCACAGAGATTACTGACTGGACACAAAAGAACACGTGTAACAAGGTCACCAACTTAACATAGCACCTCAACACATGAACTAAGTGGGGAGGGAATTCAGACAATGTGAAAATAAACAGAGCATGGTACAGACAAAGCAACAGGCATCTGCCCTACACTGTTTGCCTTAGAGTGGACAGTGCAGTGGAGAATGATAACAGAGGGGAGAAACTGAGGAGGGTATATCAGAAGGCATAAATCACATTGGGCAATAATGAATACAAGAGCAATGGAGTTTAGATTATCTCTTTCCACAGCTAAAAAAACTGTTGTGCGAGTTACCTGTTTCCACAGTGTGAGTCTGATTCTAGTACTAGGATAAGCATAATGATGTGACTGTTTCTCATGGCGACCAAACTGGGGAAAACCATGGAGAGCTGCGCTCCTCCACTCTCACCAACTTTGCTCACGCTAGGGGTAAAATGGCATGTATGCTGTAAGCACCAAACACCTAGCAACAATGTTAGTAAGAGTTAGGGAGGGAAATCCAGGACTGCAGGGCTCAGCAAACTGCTGTTGGAGATCTTTTGAAGAGCTTACAATTTGAGTAAGAAATTCTCAAAAAACATGCATCAACATGCCCCTTCCACCTAAGAGGCCTCATGAGAGAAAAGTGTCTTGCACATCCACCCCTGGAGAACACAGTCTGGAGGCCAAGGGGAGATAAATGGGGTAGGGAGAGAGCTGTGCAGAAAAAATACAAAGCAGAAAACAAGAGGAAAATGAGCTTGTGACTCCTGGGAGAAGCTGAGCTGTGTTCTAAAATCAAAGCTGCTAAAAAGGCTGGGATAAAGAGGCCATGGTAATTCCACACCCCCAGTTCCCTTGGCTAATGAATGTCTGAGAAATGCCACTTCTTTACAAAGGCAACACAGGCAGCCCTGAGATATGAAACATTTCAAATTGAAGGGGATAGTCCTTCAAAGTCTGCTGGAGAGACCAATTTGTCAGAGCAAGGAAGAGATGAGAGGATGGACCAGCTGAATTTTCCTCCTAGTATCTATTTTTTTTCACAGCCTATATGAACCTCCAATAGCCAAGTAAGAAGGCAGAAGTCACCAAGTAATGGATCACCAGACAAGACAGCAGGTTATGGTATGGTAAAGAAACACAGCCTGCTCTTCTGTCTTTGGGGTGGAGTGGTCAAGGCTTGCAGTTGTTTGGGAGCCATATACTCTGGATTCATATTCCAAGGTAAGCCCAGTTTCACTAGACTGCTGGCTCCTGATAGCTGATTAACAGGACGTGACTTTGGCCTGAACCCCACAAGACTGTTACAGCAAGGATGGACAGGAAAGGATGATTCAGGAAGAACACCAGCCATGTGGTCATGTGCCAAATCAACAACAGTCACTGACCCTGAAATCATGACATGGTCAGGGGAATACTTTGGCCACCTTGTGAGATTTCAGACAAAAAAAATGCATTTCAAAAGCAAGAGGAAGAGAACCTGGGTTTTGTATTAACTGAATTAGTTACCACAACTCTTTATGATGCTCTGGCTATGAAAGTATCTCAAAGCAACCATTACTATAATGCAAGGTCAATCTTCTCTCAAATGACAAAGAGCAAGCTTCTAATCATCTTATGGAACAATTAACAAACACTTTTCTGGGAGAAGATGGATGCACATACTCACCCTGGTGAAGCAGCTTGAAGTCTGTGCTGTCCAGCTCCCTTATGCCCTTGCTCCGCAGCTGCACCCGGAAAAGAAGGCTCAGCAAAACAGGCAGGTTCCTGTTAGCTAAGAAGGGCACAGACAGTTTAGCTTGTCAGTGAACTCCAAACTGCTGTACCTGAAAGTGTGCCAGTGTTAATTTTCTGGCTCCAGAATAAGGGGACACACACACACACACACACACACACACACACACACATACAGAGCCACAATTTTACTCTCATCTCTACAGCCTATTCTGGATCAGGTCCCTTTTCTGCCACTCTGGTTTGGCCGGAGTTACACTTGAATCCTGCCAACATCATTTTAGGAGCAACTAAAGAAGGGGGGAAAAAGAAGCTAGGGTCATTTACACCCATCATGAGCTATGTAGAGAGCATGTGCCTCACACTTTGATACTGCTAATAAGCTAGAAGTCATTAGCCCTTTCTAGACTGCTCTCTTCCTGCCCATTTGACCATCACTGTCACACTTTTGATAGCAGCCCAGATGGACAGCATTATTCTCCTCCATCTTGTGAGACTGGAAAAATGCTGTCCATCCCATCCCACAGGGCAGAGCAGAGACAGAAGTGAGAATCCCACACAGCAAGCCTGTGTGTAAGGAAGATGGGGCTACTTAGACCACCAACCCCTAGGGCAATCCCTACTATTCACTTTTTTTGCAGTGCTGTAAACAGATAAAGATTTTGTATTGTATAAAGCCATACCTACAGAAAGCAGCTATCACCTTCAGTTTTCACAAAGGCTCATGAGTTTTCTGTTTTGAGGAAGAAACACTTATGGGTGTCTTTAATGTTAACATATTCCTGATGGAGTCCCACTGTTGGGCCTCTTTCTTGTCTAAAAGCAGCTACTGTTTGAATAGGGATGCAGATCCCCTGGACTTAACTATCTCAGGCCTCACAGAGAACTGCCTGTGTGCTGGGAGACAAGGAAGTCTGTCTCCAGAGTACATCTGGTGTTTGACTTTCTGGATGTGTTGCCAGGATGTCAGTTAACAAGTTCAAGATGCAATATGAAGAAGAGCCACGCATTTTAGTAGCAGCAGAAGGGCTCAAATAATGCAAAAGCTCCCCTAGCTCAGTGTCCTACCTCCATCACCAGTTATTTGGAGGAATAGGTCTGACTCCCACTATAGGAAATGGATACTTTGCCTCCCCACAGCTCTCAGAATCCATAGATCAGTGACACAGGGACATGACAAGTTCAAATGTGCACAATTCCAGACAAGATCAGACCTAGCAGATCTTGTAGTCTCATCCCCTACCATGCTCCTGCTTTCAATGCCCCTCCTCTTCTCCAGTCTACTGACTTTGCTGGAGGTAAAGCAAAAACACTTTCCTCCTTGTCTCCATCCCAATTGCTGCACAACAAAACACTTGAAACAGAGCAAAGCTGTTAAAGGCATTAGTGGCCCCCTCAGAAAGAAGTAGAAGTTGTGCTAAGTCTCCATCCTAAAGGAGCCAAGGACATCCTAACGCTGCTCCCTCTTTCAGTTCAAGCTCACAGACTGCTTTGCACAGCACTTTTTACAATGGGATAACAGCTCCAACATCACAGACAGGGCCAGTAAAGAAAACAGGGATTTCCCCCAGTTACAGCCTCGCTCCCTTTGAGAGACTTAACAGTTATAAGATCTGGTGAATAACACAGGCCCTGTTTGGGGATCAATATCATGAATGATTCAATCTTTGTTCCTGGTCTCTGTGTCCTGGGAACTGTGTATACTCAGGCATACCTAGCTGTTTTGCACAAAGAAGCAAAAAGGAGGATGTCTTTCAGCCACCAGTTGGGCCCCTATTCAAGCAGGAAGACTAACCAGCACAGCTCTCCATTTGAACACTGACAACAGCATACAAAAACCTTGCTTTGGTTGAACAATCACATTTTGAAGCCAGAACTACATAAATTAGAAAAAAGGCTCTCACTTCAAAATGAATCTCTGAAAAAGGAAACTAAATTAAGATATACTTAGCTAAGTATAGTTCATAAATTTCTTCATGCAGGTAAGTACTAAAGCTACATCAGCAGTTCAAAACCACTTTATCCCAGACTGTGTCCCTACAGCTAGTTGATCATACAGCAAGACCAAGTCACAGAATTGGGGTCACCTTGTAGGGTGGCTGAGCTACTCTCTACCAGCAGCTGCTGCAGAATCTGTAAAAAACGGCTCCGAAGGAGGTCACAGACAAGGACATCCTCATTTCTTTCCAGGAAGGTCCTTAGAGTAATCAACACCTTCCAAGCCACTTCCACAGAGCTTGAGTAGACCAGGTCCTGCAAAGGAAGAAACACACACATTACCTTTCTACTCTGATTAGGCAGAAGTCACCACTATTTAATACCATTATGCTAATCTCATGCCTTGGGAAACAGCCTAATAAAGCACCATTCAGATTAAGTATGCCCTGATTAAATAGAGAACTGAATAAAGCAGAAGGACTCATGTCTATTAGGCACCTCTGAGTAATATCCCATTTAAAGAATGATTTGGCTCTGTAAGTGCAAGGGTAACATATGTTTAAGGTCACAGTTTTAGACAAGTGAGACCTAAACAAGAGAACAGAATCTCTGGTACTTCTGCTCTACTTGTTGTTTTGAAAAATCAGCTTGCATATTAAATATGCTTGCCTAAAATCAAGCTTATGAGTCAGTCCATAGTTCCTAACTTTCAAAAGGCTGGCAGCCTCATATGTGCAGTAGTAACATAACTAATCTGCATAAAACATATGTAAGCTGGGTAAGCAATCAAGCTCAGGAAAGGGAAGAGTGGTGTACACAGCTCACAAGCTTGCCTCTTGACTACAGGGCTCTGTCTGGAGTCTCTGAGCTGAATCCCACAGCCAGTAGCCTTAATTTGGCCATAGTCTTCATGCTGAGGCGTATAACATTAAATTCACTTGCACAGCATGTACAGAGGCAGCTGTATAAATATCAGACAGAAAAAGCCTGATAGTGCTGACCAGGACTACTTCATTGCAAATGGTAGAGTTGAAGAGGTAAACAGGAAACTGTACAGCAACTGAGCCTACAGTCTGCCTGGACAACTTGCTGCCTCTCTCAGCTGCCTCACCCTATCACACAGCAGTAATTCATCCAGACTTCGATGATGCAGAGGAAATGGCTGTGGAACCCTGTACCCAAGGAGAGCAAATAAGGTAAGAACAGGCTGTATGTGCCAGAAAAAGCTGTCTAGTTCTGAGCCGAATTTCTGCCTCTACCAGAGACCTTCATGAATAAAGGGCAGGAAGATGTCTGCACAATCATCTCTGCTGACATAGATCTGCTCCATATGACATTCAGGAATGTAACCCAACGTCTCTGTTCTCTGAGAGAGCACCTCAGACCTGGAGCATGGAGAAGACAAGTGAGACAGTGTGTCATCATGACTACATTCATCCCCAGATGAACACACACAGCACAAAATGACATGAACCAATGGCCACAGCCTTCCTGGTCCTGGCAAATGTACCATTGTGTTAATAGGTTCCTTCCTACCCAGAAGCTCAAGGTCTCAGATGAAGTCACTAACCATCTGTTTTATCTAATCCAGACAATTATTTAAAGCAGAAAGCAAATAAGTCATCCTAGGAAGGACATTCATTTTTGTTTCACTGTACCATGCAGAGGCCTTTCCACTCCACTAGTGCATTCTGAGGCTTAGGTTATTCATCTCATCATTTTCTTTACACCTGACAGTATATTTATCCTTCCATAGTGCACTGTTTTATTAGTCCACCTAAATTCAGATTGATTATGCTCTTCCACAACTGAAAGGTGAATTGTCAAAGCCTGTGATTTATTACAACTCACTTTAAAGACTGGAACAGAGCTAAATGAATTTACTTCTGCAAGAGCATATGGCAAGACAGAAAAGGGAACCAGGAATTTTGTACCATTCAGGGAAGGGAGATGCTGTTTATGTTTTGCTTATTGACAGACCTTCTTCAGTTTATGGAGTGATAGGTTCCAGAACTACTAGCAAAGGTAACAGAGTGGACAAGCCTCATGGGACACTTCACCTCCTTAATTTGTCCTGATATGTAAACTCACTGATCACTTTTACGAATGCTCTGCAATGGTATCAAGCACCTGGATGTTGCTACCTACTCTGCAATGACATCCCATCTGTGAAAGAGCTGCCCTACATGAGAGCACTCCTGTCAGTCATTTCAGTAACCTCAGATACTCAAATTTACTCCATAGCCTCTTAGATCAGAACAAACGTGTTCTGTAATGCCCAATGGATGCCTACTCAGAGTCAAGCCTTGTTTCCTCTTACTTCTTTACCATCTGTTGACATGGGTCTGCCTTTTTAATGATAGTTAGTTTTAATTTCTCTAACGGATTGGAGAAGAAATATCACAGCTCTTAGCTTTTGCCCTTACAGGCAAATCTCACTTTCTTCTGTGGCAAAATTAGCAAATACTTACTATGCGACTGGCTCAACAGTCACTGGACAAGAAGCCTACGATGGGGAGAGGTGACAGGTGACAGGAAGGTGAGAGCAATGGAAGTGAGAAGAGGCCTCTAAGCAGCCATCAGGACACGGACTGTGTCGTGATTACATTACAGAGCTCATTACACCAGCTAAAGGCAAGCACACTAGCCTGCTGCTTCAAGGCCCCTTTCTCTCCTGCACTGATTAATTTTCCCTGCCACAAGACTTTTATTTTATCTTTTAAGAGCAATAAAACATGTTATTTGCATAACATGAAAATTCAAGGGTACTTCAAAATTCTCTGACAAGAGTCTCCAGTTAAAACCAGACAAAATGAAAACCTCAAACAAACAGAAAGCTGTGTGAAAGACCTGTTCTCTGCACGCTGTTTTTTCAAAGTTCTTGTTCATCATACCCTTCTAATCTATCAGTAACAAAGCATTGCTCCTAAATCTGCATAACAGCTTCTTCAAAGACTGGCACTGAAGAATCTCAAGTACCTAGATGTGTTATCTGAATAGAGGAAGGAATGGGGTTTTTCATGGCACACATCAGCAGCACCCTTCAGATCCCTCTCCAGCCAACTCTCAGAGGATCCCTTCCTGACACAGTAGATGGATGACAGAGAAAGAGATAATACACATACACAGTCCCATTTTCCACATAAGGCTTCCCTGGCAGGTGAAAGTCTGTGTATACACACATGCCCCCTTCTATCAAAATCCTTGGCTTCATAACATAACTAAAACTTTAAGAACCAAAAAGCCCCCAAAATCAGGGCCAGGATAGCAGTCTCTCCTTGTGAAAGTCACATACCAGTAAAATAAGCAAAATGCTGGAATTGCTCTTCAGTATGGGAAGCAATGGGTTAGTGCTGTTCAGCTGATCAGACGTGCCAAAATCACCTTCTTCGGCCTCAGACTGCTTGCAGTCTTCCCAGGAAAACCAGAGTTGGAGGATTTGGTGTCCAAATTTCCCCATTAGTTCAGAGTAGCTCAGGAAGAATTTCAGCAGGAGAGGACAATGGACATAGACCAGGCTCAGATCTGGAAGATTATCTAGGATCCTTCTTACGGTAGACAAAGACCTCTAGTAAGAGGGAAAGGGGAAGTGGGACAGAGAAAAAAAAAGTCATTAATACTGAATTATAAAACATCTGAAGTGATGAGACTTTACTGTGAGAAACAGTCACACTGCCTTTTCAGCAGACAATCAAATACATCAGTTAAACATCATTTTATGAACCCCATTTGCATCACAAAGGCTAAGAAACTTGTAGGCTTTATACAGAGCTCAAAGCTCTGCAGCAGCAAAAAGCCATATGGGAACACTAGAAAGCCTGCTGCAGAGGCTGGAGATGCGTTTGGGAGACCAAAGCTATGAAATTTATTATATTCTGTATGTGAATTCACAGCCTATCCAACGCAATTACACTTCCCACACATACACAAGTTTATTCTGTCAAATCTATATTCCCCTGTGGATTTTCATAGTTAACTTTCCAGAGTGTAGATGCACTGCGCAGTCTTCACTCATTCACTGCTCACCACCTATGCCAAAATACTTTCCACAAGAAGGTTGATGTGAGTGGGGAGAAACCTTAGTTTCAACAAAAAGGTTCCAAGAGGTAGGAATAAAATCTTCTTTTACCACATCCAGGGCTTTGCCTTTGTCCTGACAGACAGCAAGGAGGTAAAGTGCAGCTCTGAGTATGTGTGGAGGGGGACAGTCTCCATGGTCCTGTGCTGAGAGGAGAAAATTTCTTACAGCTAGAAATAATTCTGCCTCTGGAACAAACCTGCAATGAAGAAGATTGGATTGGAAACAGTAACAACAGATATGCTTTACCCACCAATACATGGTATGTTATGGCCACAAACCCACTTGCTTTGTATACTCTTGGCTCACCTGTCCCCAAAGGTGTAGGCAAAGTATAAGAGCAGTATGAAACAGTACTGATGGCTGCAAAGAGACTGATCCAAAAAGAAAGGCTCAGGGGCTTCAGACAGGAGGAGAAGGCTTTCAGCAATGGTGAAGTTTAACTGAGGCAGACCCTTCTGCAGGAGCTCAGACATCTCTTGCTCTAGAAATAAAAATATAAGCAAGCAGGAAATGATGAGCAATGTCTGTGGAACAACTCCACAGACTGCATACACCAAGCACATCTCTATGATTTGGCATCAATAGTGGTGTGAGACCTGTTTTAACAGAGCTGGCTTCAAGGATGAAAAGACATTTCTGTTTGAGATTCCAAGCCCTTTGCTGATGCTGCCTGTACAATGACCAGCGACTGCTAATGGGAAAAGTGTCTTTTCTGATGTAGAAACTTTCATCTCATTTGTTTGGGACTTACTTATTATGGAAAGTTACAGTATCTACAGGAAAGATTTATAGAGTATTCCAGAGGGGAAAAATGACCTTTATCTGCAGATGTGAGTGACTATGTGGCAAGTAATTTTGTTTCAATTAAGCATGCTAATAAATGCCCCTATGTAAACAAAACCATAGGCAGAGGAAATGCCTTCTTTCAGGTAGGGTTCCAAGTTCTTCAAAAGGCACAGTGTTTTCTGTGCTGGTCCTTGCTGGACCAGCTTAAAAACAAGCTGGGGAAATAAAATCTCTCAATCAGGCTATGTGTGTCCTCCTTTTCCTTCTCCTTTGTCCTTTTCTAATTTTTTTTCACCTGTTGCCTAACAACAGGGTGGCATGGCCTCAAACTAAATGAAGCAACCTTTCTCTTTCCCCAAACTTGCCCTCTTGAGAAGAAGTTCTCCTCTTCCCTGTGGCTGCGTAAAGGTTCAGACATAAACTGCAGAGGAAGCTGGAACAGGTGTGATTCAGGACAGGATTACTGTGAAGAAGAGCAGAAAAAGACAGTAAAGAAGGCTGGAAATATCCTTTTCCTACTTCTGATATCACACACTGTCTGCCAGAACTTCATTTTACTGAATGATCACATGCAAGCACCTGCCCCATCACAAGAAGACTCCAGGAGCCAACCTAGGCTTCCAGGAAAATGGTGAGTTCCCAATGGACTGTCAGCTCACAGATGTGGTGGGTGTGTGCAGTGACAACAATGAACATGTTCATACCTTGGGCCAATGTGAGTACAGTGGAGTACTTTCACAACCATCACACCTTGTCTACACAGGGAGTCCTATAAGGATAGGATCCCTAACACTGCAGAGAATGGGAGGTATTTAAGGGTAGCTCACAATACATGATTCCACTGGCAAACAACACTTAGATTTTTTAGCAATGACATTGCCAGGGATGAACACTGAGGAATGCCAAAATATTAAGTAAAAGGGTGAGAACAGCTATTTCCAGGTATTTCTCTCTCTCCAACCATTTCCTTGCAGAACAGGACACAACCAGACATCTTTAACACACCATCCTTGGCAAAGCACAGTGCTCTATTCAGAAACTGAGATCACTCCCACCACACACCATTCACAGGTACAAATGCCCCCATTTGAAGTTCCATATTAGCAAACTGGACTAGGAGTGCTGTGTGTTTTATTTATTTTTTTATGAGGTACAGTCACAGGAAAGAGGAGGTAAAACATCTCTACAGACTCACAGAGAGTCTCCTCAAATATTCTTCAACCTAGAAATCATAGCCTCTACTACAGGAGATCCTTTGCAATGCCTGCTACTGAAGTCATCCTCCTCTCCCCCACTTCTAATACATTCTATTATCTCTATACTTCTATTATTTCTATACTTCTA